GGATATCGAGGTCCATACCGATGGGTGAGGCATGTCAAATAATGATGGGTTTAACATGAGGGTTACGGAAGGGTATAGACACCGAAGGATCATACATCATATGAAGGTGCGAAATAAAATAAAAAAATTTTCTCCATCTAAGGCTCCCAAGATCAAGTCGTTGAATCAACTAATCATACATACATGAATTATTACCACGAATAAAGGATTACCTCTTGTAGTACAGATTTAGTCTTTGTAAAAAAAGAGTTATTCAAATGTCCGACCTCTATTGATAATCTATAAAGCTTAAATACCCATAAAGAAAATCATAAAAAACATAATCCTCCAAGTACGCTTAATTTTTATCTAGAATCTTATAAGGTAATTTGTACCAACTTTTAGCGTTGTAGTAGAGAGGTGCAACAACTAGGGTTTTCGAAGAAAAACACTTTTTTCTCCTTTTCTTGCTTATGTCTTGTGGCTTATTTTTCAACCTATGATGTCGCCTCTCTATCTTTAATTTTCTACTCACTTTATCGGATCTCTCATTCTTTATTTATAGGGAAGTTACTTTCTTGTCCTCCAATGACAAGGAAGTGGTGGTACAAAGTTCTTTAAGAACTCTAGGTTACGGCTTCCTAATCCTCTAAAGACTAAAAGTTGCAATGCATGTGGGCTTTTTTATCTTATTCTTGTAAACCCCGAACTTTATCCAATAGGGCTCAAGTTTATCTTCTCACCAAAATATCTTACAAGCTTTTAAATTAAGCGTATTAACCTAAGCTCTTTTAGTCCAATTAATTTGGACTATCCAAATAAATTATATTAGATATTTTTAGGAAGCTATTATTAGAAATAATTTTTCAAATTATCCCTAAATCTAAATTAAGAAACTAATTTCCTTTTTAAGCAACTTACTTCTAAATTAGAAAACTGATTTCTAAAATAAAAAAATTTCCATTTTAGAAAACTTTCTATTTTAGGTAACTTTTTTCCAAAACAAAAAACTTTCCATTTTAAGAAACCTTTTCAAAAATAGAAAACTTTCAAAACTCGAAAACCTTTTTCAAAATTTTTGCTTCATTTTTATTATGTAAAAGCTTAAACTCATGCATGTGAGTCGATAGGCTCCTAGATATATGGGCAATGTATTAAGAATAAAAAATACTTTTTTTATCTCTTAATACATAAATCAAGATTGACTTCTAGTAAGACATCATGACTATCCAATTCTGTAGAAGGATTAATTAATCCATAATTATCTTTTTACAAACATGATTATCATACAATTTATTCCTCATGTCAAGTTATCATAATGTGATCTTGAACTTAGTTTATAGTCTATGCAATTATGATCACATAAGTTTTTTTCGTTTCTTAAATGTCTTAGCTCTAGAGCAAACCAACTATACTCTATTGGTATACTCCTACCGTGGCCATATATTCCTTGAACGGACATTTATCGAAGTATATTGTGATAACTCCTTTAGCATACAATGAATGACATGTCCTATCTTAATCATCCACCTATCTCTATTAGATTCATAGTATACCTAACGAATCACCATGTGTAGCTCTTGACTAAGCCCATCAAAATGAGTATTAAAGTACATAAACCCTCTAATGAGATAATCTTGATGACTTCAAATCAAAAGACCAGTTATACCAACCTCGTATGAGATTCCCATAGACTAAATCAAATAGGTTCTAATGGTGAGTCAAGTCCGATGATATGTTCTCTAACATTAAGCACTTGAGTGCTTGCTTTAGCATCACCATATCAATAAATATGAGATCTCTTACTCGCTATCTTATAGTGTGAGTATAACCGTCATAAGTTTTATCGCATATAGTCAATATCCATTCTTGACAATGCTATGACTTAAGATATTTAATGATGTCATTTCGGTGTATTAATAGTTATCTCACATCTTTCAATCAATCATTAATACAATGCATATCATATGGATTTTTATCTAATTCTATCAAAATATAAACAACAAAAATTAATAGAAAGACTTCTTTTTATTAATAAAATGAAAAATACAATATTACAACAAGTCAAACCATTCAAATAAAGTTAGATCTTGGGTACCTACATAACAATCTCTCGACTTATGCTAGAGCCAACCAGCCATGTCCCTTATTCTCGATAATCGAGTAAGGATCTTATGTTTTAACTATGATAAAGGCTATTAGCTATGTTATCATCGGTGTGGACTTTTTCTATTCTTATATCACCACGATTGATAATCTCTCTAATTAGGTGGTAATCGGGTGGTAGCATCGAAGTACATGCTTAGATCACCGATGAGACCTTGGTTTCTTAACTTGTGTTATGACTCCGTTATTGTCATAGTAAAATGCTATTTGGATCAATAACACTAGGAACCTATGTAGTCGGCCATCAAGTCATATGACATTTGAAGAAATCTTTTTTTATTCTTTCATACTAAACCTTTTAGTATCATGTCAATGTACCTACCTTAGGAGAGCCCTTATATTCTATGTAATCTAGCTTTATAGATCTCAACTCCTAGAATATAAGCTACTTTTCCATGTCATATATGGAGAAATTCTTCAATGCCTAGTATTTTATAGATTGTAATATGATAATGCTATAGTCGAGAAGTAGTTTTTTTTTTCATATAAAATAACTAAGACTAGTAGGCTCCCTCTAACCTTTTGCATACATAACGTTCATCTTTATTTTTATAAAAAATCAAACTCTTTGATTATTTCATCAAAACATGAATTCTAGTTCCTAGAGGTATGCTCAAGTCCATAAATGAATCTTTGTAAATTGTAAATCTTATTTGCATATTCTTTAATGATAGAACTATCGGGGTATGTCATCTATACATCTTTATTCGTTTACTATTTCTAGGAGTCAATGTCTAATATTGCCACTTCATAGGTATTAGCTTCATCATCCTTAATAGGATACACATCACCATGGGTTGAAACACAAAGTTCATATCTTTTTTTACTCTTGACAAACTTGTTTAGGCCCATGAAGTTCTTGTGTATTAGTTTATGAGGTAGTTACAATACTTTGTAAACTTTCTACTTGGTTCTATTAATGTACTCGTCAATTCATGAGTCTACTCAAATCTCATTGAGTTCAATTTTTCTCTCACTCGTTTCTAGCATCCATAAATTCCTTTTCAAAAGCCTAGTCATGAACAACACTTTATTTTAGTGATAATAAATAATATTCATTTGTTTCCTTTTGTACCCATGTTAGTTAACAAATATTTTTAAAAAGTTAATCAAGGGTTCAAAATCAATGTATTTAACCTTCAAATAGATTTATCGATCGATACTTGTACCGATCACTATTTTTGCTTCATATGACAAATGGACTACAAGATGTTCCATTTAGTCGAAGAAACTCGATGGAAATATGCACTCAAGTTTGCTCAAAATTAAAAGTATCTCTAACTTAGGACGAGCTTATACTTTCAACCTTAATAATAGTAGAAATCAATTCCTTAAAGAATAAGCTCAACTCAATTAATGCTTGCCAAACATTTCCCGGTAATAGGTCATGGAATGCGATAAGTATTAATCTTTGTATAAACATATGACGAGTCATGACTTTTCATGTCATTCAATCCGACGTTGTTCATATCAACACACCTAGTCAAGTTTGATACATATCTATTGAGAAACCTAAGTTATTTAATCCATTCAAGCATCCGTATTTTTTATTGTTTATCTAGGGTGTAACATGCTTTAGGGTATGATGGCGCGTCGTGCCGTTAACAAATTAATATTTATGGAACCTTAACCACAATAGAGTAATTAGGGCAAGTAAGGATCGAACCCATAAGGAAGGAGGTTTAATTGATCATTTCTTTTGATGAAGTGTTCTTGTAGTGTAAAATAGAGGTTTTGTGTTTAGAATGCTTGAAAAAAATTAAATTAAATTAAATTAACAATGATAAAAAAAATCTTGGTTGAACTTCAATATCCACTTTTGGTTTAGTCATCGATCATTGATTAAACAAGTAACGTATCCTAATATAAATACTCACCATAAGACAACAACATGTATGTTAACTCTAATCTTTCCTTACCTAGTCATTAATTACATATACGATAACTAATTAATTCTCTAACTATTGAACAACCTACTAAGCGCTAGATATATTTAATCCAATAATAGTATTAAGATGAGAAAGAAAGGTGAAGCTAAGCCACCTTCCTAAGTGTTAGAGAAGATGTAACCTAGTTTTATGTTTTCCAATGATTTGAACGAAAACATCACTAATCATCAACTCTTAGTTACTACCACGGATAAGTTTAGACAAGTAAGACAAGTAATTACACGGACTTAAATACTTAGCTATGAATAAGCAATACAAATAAACAACTAGTGTGCACTCTAATTGAATTAATCATATAACCGTAAACCAATCACGTAGAAAAATATAAAACACCCAATAGAAATAAGTTTAGAAATAAAACTAGCAATCTCACGAGTGATTAACCAAAAGCTTCAACTTGATTTAACCAAGAATAGAGTATAATTGTTCATAATACAAAGAGAGAATTCCTATAAATGATGGCTGCTAGGAGAAGAGAATGAGAGAGAGAGTAGAGATAAAGTGAGAACCTAACTTCTCTATTTATTGTAAAAGGTAGGGTTACAACACACTTCTAACTATCTACAAGTGTCACACGGATTGCTTAGCTAAGGCACATGGCCGTGTGCCTTTTTCACTTCATCTCATGTCTTTTATTGCTTCATCCCATTTACAAGCCTTTTGCCCATGTAGATTTACCTTCAAACCGTGTAAAAAACCTTCTATCCGTGTCGAATTGCACCGTAACGTGTGTCTCTAAATAATCAGCTTGAATGGACTTGATACATGACGAATTATGATTTGAGTTCTCAAGAAAGTTGTAGCCCTATGTCGTAGCTTTCCAACGAATTATGGAAGACAAGGATCATTTCTTGCTGTCCATTTGGTATGACAAGATCCTTGCGAAGACAATAGTTTGGTATGCAAATGGAGATAATCCTGCACCTAGGGGATCTAAGGTCGAGCTGACCACTGATCGTGGGCTGGTGCTTACTGATCCTCAAGGCAACCAAATTTGAAAATCTGATATCAGTCTAGGTGCAGTTTCGTCAGGTGTTATGAATGACACTGGAAACTTTGTGCTTAAAAATAGCAATTCTGACAGGTTATGGGAAAGTTTCGACCATCCTTCTGATACGTTGTTGCCTACTCAGATTTTAGAGATTGAAGAGGTGTTCTCTTCTCGATGGTCGAAAACCAACTTTTCACTGGGGAGATTCTAGTTCCGTTTCGACGCTGGTGATTTTATGCTGAATTCCATAAATTTGCCAACCGGATTTGCTTACGATTCCTACTATAGAATAACTTCTGATGCTTCAAATTCTTTCAATTCTGGTTATCGTTTGATCTTCAATGAGTCAGGCTATATGTACATGTTAAGAAGAAGTGGGCATAGATTCTTTCTCACAGAAGGAACAGTTTCGACTGCAGACTTCTATCATAGGGGGATTCTCAATTTTGATAGTGTTTTCATTCAATATTTTTACCCAAAAACATCTGGTAGTAACAGAAGCTGGTCCTCTGTCTGGTCGAAACCAGATAATACATGTGTCAATATTGGTGGAGGCTTGGGCAGTGGAGCCTGTAGATATAACAGCATCTGCAGCCTAAATGATGATAAAAGACCAGATTGTGATTGCCCACAAGGTTTTTCTTTACTTGATGAGAATGACAAGTATGGAAGCTGCATACCAGATTTCGAACTAAGCTGCAAAGATAGACTCAATTCCACAGAAGATCACTATGATTTTCAGGAGCTAATAAATGTTGATTGGCCAACATCTGATTATGAGAGGTTCAAGCCTTCTGATGAAGATACCTGCAGAAAGTCTTGCTTGAATGATTGTCTATTTGTTGTTGCCACTTTTCGAGATGGCTGCTGGAAGAAGAAGTTACCGCTCTCGAATGGAAGAGTTGACAGTGGTATGAATGGAAAGGTTTTGATCAAATTTCCAAAAGGTGACGTTCCTCAGGAAAGGCCTCCTCACCAGTTTCCTGAAGAGAAAAAAGAATCGAGATGTTAAGTTGATCACTGGATCGGTGCTACTTGGTAGCTCTGTATTTGTCAACTTTGTATTCGTTGGTGTGTTCTATCTTGCTTCTTCCTTCATTTATCGCAAGGCAACCACAAAAATTCAAGGAGAGGGGGATGCGATGGAGATAAAGTTGTGTTGTTTTACATACAAAGAGCTCACAGAAGCGACAAATGACTTGAAGGATGAGTTGGGAAGAGGAGGTTTAGGTGCTGTTTATAAGGGGAGAATACCGGTAGGTTTTACTAATGTTGTTGCTGTCAAGAAGTTAGATAAAATGGTTCAAGATGGGGAAAAGGAATTTAAAACTGAAGTAAAGTACGAGTGATTAGCCAGACACATCACAGAAATTTGGCCCGGTTGCAAGGATAATGTGATGAGGGGCAGAATCGGTTGTTGGCGTACGAGCTCTTGAGTAATGGCACTATAGCAAACTTCCTTTTCGGAAGCTCTAAGCCTAATTGGAAGCAAAGGACCTAAATTGCCTTTGGCATTGCAAGAGGACTCTTGCGTTTGCATGAAGAATGCAGCACTCAAATCATTCACTGTGATATAAAGCCTCAGAATATACTTACTGACGATTATTACAATGCTCGAATATCTGATTTTGGACTGCCAAAATTTTTGATGGTGCATCAGAGGCTCAGAGCCAAACTGAGGCTTTCATTAGAGGAACGAAAGGATATGTTGCACCTGAATGGTCCAGGAACAAACCAATCGCTGACGTGTATAGCTTCGGTATCATGCTGCTAGAGATCATCTGTTGTCGAAGAAATGTAGATCTGGAGATCAGCGAGAAAGCAGTGCTGACTGATTGGGCTTATGACTGCTATACGAATGGAACTTTGGATGCTTTGCTTGAAGATGACCCGGAGGCCATTAATGACTTATCAACAGTTGAGAAGCTGTTGAAGGTTGCATTTTGGTGTATTCATGAGGAGCCATCTCGCAGACCCACCATGTGGAAGGTGACACAAATGCTTGAAGGAGTTGTTGAAGTGCTTACTCCTCCAAATCCATTTCCATTTAGTACAATCAGCAATGATCTTTAATTCATTTAGACATGCTTTTTGTATGGTCTCTGCCACCATCAAACGTAGCTTTATAAATTGATATGCTGTGTTAAATTTGAATGAGTTTCCAAGGAATCAGAATGTTGTGATGAATCCAAAAACATCAAGTCACCATGTTCTCGTTTTCACTTTTCTTGCTTCAGATATGCCCATGGAGGCTTAGCATGGTATTATTCTCTCTGAGGATAAGGGTAGGGGCTAGGTTTCAAGTTCCTGTCCAGTCTTTACTACAATGAGAATCAAAATAAAACTTCTTCACTGTAACAAGCGAAACATCAAACAGCAGTAGCTTACATTACATTAAGGTTGTTTCTGCTTTCCTTTTGCATGGTTAAGAAAGCAACAAACAGCACACAAAGCTGTGAAGAAGATGAGGTGGTTCCTTTGCTTACAAAGGGGTAATGCATATTATTAACATAACACTAACATTAACATTTAAAGAAAAAAGAGAGCAGAAATGAACAATGAATGAACAGAGATTTTCACGGTTGATTTCATCAACGATTACTATGGATGGAAATGGCGTTTATGCAATTTTATTGACTGTTTTTGAACATTAATTTACAAATTTTTCTTTACATTTTATTTTGGTCCCTCATATTTGTTTATAAAACAATTGGTCGCCTGGGCTGCTTGTTGCATTAGGCCTTTTGCAGGCCCATGCACTCAGGCTTTATTAGGCCTTGCAGGCATGCCTCTTTTGTTATCTTTGAATTTTTTTCTTTTGTTTTTCCACCAATTTATGTTTAATTTTTTTATTTTGGAATTAAGTGCTAAAATTATGAAAAAAAAATCTTTAGTTTTTTTTCCTACACAAAAAATTATAAAATATATAAGATATATTTTTAGATATTAGAATAAACATATATATTGAATTATATTACTCTTATTATTTAAAATTGATTTCTTTAATTTATCATTTTTTATAAAACTTCTCATCAAAATAATTTTTTATTTTTTATTTAATTTTATTTATTAATAAATAATATTTATTTTCTCTATATATGTATTTTTAAATATTTTTATTTGTTTTTATGTACTTATTCTTTATATAATAAAAATTTTAAAATAGAATACATCTGTTTTATTTTATTATTTTTATATAATAAAATTTTATCAGAGTTAATTTTCAAGTTATTTTTATTGTACTCTATCAACTTCAATTTTTTTTTTTACAACTTAATTTTTTAAAAATATTTTTTAAAGTTCATTGATTTTATTGAAAATTAACTATACATCTATATACATAAAACCAATAATTTACTATTATTTTTTAATATTTTAAAATTAATATGTTTCAAATAATATTTTAGAAGAACCACCTAATAATTCAACTACAACTTTTTATATTATTATTATTATTATTATTATTATATTAAAAGTTAATCTTCTCATCAATATTAAACGAGAACAAAAAAGATTCTTTTGTTATTTTTTTTACATTAATTTTTTTTATTTATTCAAGCAATAATATTGAAAAAAACATTAAGAGGTTTTTTTAAAAATTTATATTTAGATTATTGGTTTTTATTTGAGAAATAACAAATCGTGTTTTTTAATTACAAAATTTATTAAAAATGAAAAAATAAATAAAACATAATTTTGATTAAAAACTATAATATTATATGAAATTTTATGTTTTTCTTTTAATTTAATATGTTTTGGTTTACCGACAATATAATACACACTATTAAAATAAAATAAATATGTTTAATTTGATCTATAACATAGTATATGATCTCGACTATTAATTAACTAAAACAACTAAAGCAAAATGAAATTCATTGTTCATTTATTCTTCACTCTCTAAAATCACTACTGTTTACTCTTTATAGAAAAATATTCACTTCGGCCCCTTTGTTTTTTGAACAATGTTTTTTCACTCCAAAATTTATTTTTCGTTCGTTTTGATCCCCGCATCATAAGAGAAGAGAGAAGGGAGTAGAAAGAGACAACCGAAGAGGCCCATTATGGCTACCCTAATAGTTAATTTTACCACTAGTTTGTTTGTCTCAAAGAGTAAAATCCGTTTGTGGAGATGGCAAGCCATGAAATGATAAAAAGAGGTGGATCGGAGTGCCAAAATATTTTAAATTTTTTATTTTGATTTGAATTTTTATGTATTTTGTGTGAATTAAAATGAATTTTGATATTCTAAACGAGTTTTTGATGTTATTTTAGTAATTTTGAGTTATTTTTTTAAAAAAAATCATGCTTCAATTTTGTTTTGAAAGGCTTGAAATAATAGAACTCGACTTTTCTAAAGCTTTTTCGATGAAATCAGTTGTGAGAAAATGCAGAGGTCATTGAGAATTAAGAGGAATTTTTTTTTGCTCAAGCCAACGCAAGCCTGGTGCTCCATGCCCAAGTTTAGGTGCACGGGCTTTCTCCTTTTTTTCTTCTCTTTGAATTTTTTCAATTAAAAATTTTTAAGGAAAACTTATGGAACATCGAGCATTATTATTTGTATTTTTCATGTAGTGTATTGAAGATAATAGATAAATAAAAATTAACATATATTTTAGATTATATTACTTTTATTATGTAAAATTTATTCTTTGAATTTGTTATTTTTTATGAAAATCCTCATCTAATTAATATTTTTTAATAAAATATTATTTGCTGATAAATATTAATTTTTTTTCATATTTGAATTATAGAATAAATTTTTTAAAAAAATTTTCTTTAAAAAAAATGATATAATATATATCATGTATTTTTAGAATTTTTAAATGATAGTTGCTTATATATAAATATATCATTATTATAATCTAAAATATTAAAAATGTATTTCATATAATTTATCCTAGTCCATTACATACGGTCAAAACATATAAAAAAAACTATTGAATTATCGATTTTATTAAAAATTAATTATACATCTTTACACATAACACCAAGTATTTGCTATAATTTTTTTTTAAAAAAAAACATTATAGAGTCAATTTATTAGAAATAAAATAACTAAAATATTTTTAAAAAAAGACTATCAAATTATTCAAATGTATTTTTTTATGATAACATTATTGATTATTTTGTAAATAAATATATAAAAATCAAATGCATATACTTTCAAAAAACAATCAACTTATCAACATTAAATATGAGTGAAAATTTATTTTTTATTAGTTAATTTTTATATGTGTCTATATATTAATTGTAACTTCATTTTTTAAATACATTCTTATAAAAAATATATTTTTAGGTATTTTTTTATAATTCTTGATTAATATTTTAATTTAAACTATTACAAGTTATTATTTCAAAATCTATGCTTAAAGAAGAATAAATCATGTTTTTTTAAATAAAAAATTTATGAAAAATATAAAAAATATAATTAAATAAAAATAATATTATAATTATAAAATTATAAAATGATTTTATTCTATTCAACCCACAATATAGTAATCGGCTAGTTAAAACTAAAAGATTTTGAGTATTTACTATTTATGTGAACAGTAATTCTCTTATTCGTTTAACTGTTCACCACACACTCATTTTTGCTATTCATGTATTATTTTCAATGGCTTTTTTTTTTAAGGCTTTTTGAGAGCATTTAAGAGGTCGTATTTGAGAAATGTTACACTTAGGTTCATGATTTTGCCAGCTCTTTTTTTTTTTTTTTAATTCTCAACTTCATTTGCATTATCAATTAGTCATTCGATGAAGTTAGAAAACAGGAGGAAAGAGAGGGAAAGTCGTGACGAGCCTTATTCCTAACGTGATGACCGATCATAGTTTCAATGCGTTCATCTTGATATGACGTTGATGCATGAAAAGTAAGTTTAAATAATTCACTTTTTAACTAATTTCAAACATTGTGAAAATAGTGAAATCACTTTTTTCTATTTTCCATAACAAGTCTAGAGTGCTGGTTAAGTTTTGGTGACTTGGGAGTCTCGGTGGCAACATGGAATCTTCAATGTCTAATAGTAAAAAGCCTTGTTCGGCCTTAGCAAGGAACCAACTATATCTATCAAGTTTCTTGTTCATTTTGCTAAATCCATCCAATTGCATATTCCAAGTTTTCAATTGTTACTAGCAATGGACTCTAAATTTGCATTTGCATTTCTGCTGTTCTACTTCCTCGTGTCCTCTCGTTCTGTCATATCTCAGACAAATGGTAATGTTAGCATCGGGAAATCTCTTGTTGCCATGGATCAGACTCTTCCATGGCTTTCTCCTTCTAATGATTTTGCATTTGGATTCCGCCAACTAAATGGTAATGATGATTTCTTCTTGCTTGCCATATGGTATTATAAAATACCAGACAGAGACATAGTTTGGTGCGCAAATGGAGGAAATCCTGCGCTTAGAGGATCAAAGGTTGAGCTAACTGCTGACCGTGGGCTGGTGCTGAAAGATCCTCAAGGCACAGAGCTATGGAAATCGGATTTCGGCGCAGGTAGAGTCGCCTATGGTGTGATGAATGATACATGCAACTTTGTGCTTGTCAATATAAACTCTGAATCTCAAGCGGTATGGGAGAGCTTCAGCTACCCAACTGACACCTTGTTGCCTACTCAGGCAATGGAGATAGAAGGGATTCTTTCTTCCCGGAAATCAGCAACCAAGTTCTTTCAAGGAAGATTCCAGTTCAGATTGCTCAGCGATGGAAATGCAGTTCTCAATCCAATAAACCTGCCCTCCAAATACGCATATGATGCATACTATATCAGTGGTACTCGAGATGATGCAAATTCATCAAATTCTGGCTTCCAAGTGGTCTTTGATGAGTCAGGTAACTTGTAAATACTAGAAGAAATAAAGAAAGGTTCTATCTTACACCACAGAGGATAGTTCCGGCGGTGGATTATTATCTCAAAGCAACCCTCAATTTTGATGGGGTCTTCACAATATCTCGTCATCCAAAGAATTCCTCGAGCAACGGGACCTAGACAGTCATTAGGACCATACCAAAGAACATTTGTGCAAATGCCCTTGGACCAGTGGGGAGTGGGATTTGTGGGTTTAACAATTTCTGCAAACTCAAGAATGATCAAAGGCCAACATGTGAATGCCCACCCGGCTACTCATTACTCGACCCAGATGATAAATACGGAAGCTGCAAACCTGATTTCATTCAAGGCTGTGAAGAAGATGGGCAGAGTCCTCCGGAAGATTTATACACTACGGTGGAGATTCCAAACACTGTCTGGCCAACATCTGATTATGAGTTATTTAAGCCTTATAGTCAAGCAGATTGCAGAAAGTCTTGTCTACAGGATTGTTTATGTGTTGTGGCTGTGTCAAGAGGCGATGGCAGATGTTTTAAGAAGAAGTTACCTCTCTCGAATGGGAGAGAAGATAGCACAGTTATTAGTATGGCTTTTCTTAAAGTAAGAAAAGCTAATGCCACATTGCAGAACCCTCGTTGTTTGCCTCCAAAAACAGAGAAGAACCAGGACAATTTGATCGTTGTTCTATCAGTCCTCTTGGATGGCTCAGTGATTGTCATCTTCATATTGTCTGGTCTATCATGTTTAGGATCTTTCTTGGATCACAAGAAGGACACAGAAAACCACCAACAAGAAAGGTCCATGGGAATGAATTTGCGGTTTTTGACCTATAAAGAGCTCGAGGATGCTACAAATGGATTTAATGAAGAACTGGGAAGAGGATCTTTCAGCATTGTATATAAAGGTGTAATAGAAACTGGTTCCACAGCCCCTATTGCTGTTGCAGTCAAGAAGTTAGACAGATTAGTTAAAGACGGCAATGATGAATTCAAAACTGAAGTCAAAGTGATTGGCCAAACACATCATAAGAATCTTATTCGACTGCTAGGGTATTGTAACGAAGGACAGAACAGGTTGCTGGTTTATGAGTTCTTGAGCAATGGTAGTTTGGCAAGCTTACTCTTTGGAGACTTGAAACCCAGTTGGCACCAGAGGACCCAAATTGCCATGGGGATTGGGAAAGGCCTCTTGTACTTGCATGACGAATGCAGCACCCAGATCATCCACTGCGACATAAAGCCACAAAACATACTTCTCGATGGCTCCTACAATGCTCGGATTTCCGACTTCGGATTAGCAAAGATTTTGATGCTCAATCAAACACATACAGAAACCAACATCAGAGGCACAAAAGGGTATGTTGCACCTGAATGGCTCAGGTCTACGCCAATCACTGTAAAAGTTGATGTTTACAGTTTTGGAGTCATGCTGCTCGAGATCATTTCTTGTCGAAGAAGTGTCAATATTGAAATTGGTGAGAATGATAGAGAAATTCTAACATACTGGGCTTATGATTGCTTTCTTGGAGGCACACTTGATGCTTTAGTTGAGGACGATCCAGAGGCCTTAAGTGATAGGAAAAGGCTGGAGAGGTATGTGATGATTGCCCTTTGGTGCATTCAGGAAGACCCCTCTCTGAGGCCTAGCATGAAAAAGGTTATGCTGATGCTTGAAGAAATTGTTCAAGTTACCGTCCCACCATGTCCATGTCCATTCAATAGCATGATAAGCTGAAAATTTTTATTTTTCAGACAACGACAGTGCTCTTTAGCAGTTGACCCATAATAATCGGATGGTGTATCTGTAATTTCAACCTGCACCTCTTTTTTTTTTTTAGACATAGGTACGATGCCCTAAAATTTTATTAAATGAACGTAGAAAAATACAGGGGGGACAAAACGAGCCTAGCCCAATATGTTGGGGGACAAGGTTGCCTGGATCCCTGAACTGCAAGTTACAGAAGTATTGAGACTACTAGGGGACCGTAAGGCTATTACTGAGTAGTTTCAAGAATAGATGTCTGTGTACTCAGTAGTTTTAAAAGGAGACTCAACAAGCTCTTGATAGATTCCATAGAAATGCAAACCATAGATTCAACTAACAGCTGTTATGTTATGTAACGGATGATAATCGTTTCGAGGCATCCCATTATCTTTATTCGGTTTAAAATAACAGCAGCGATTATTATTTTATTACTGTAGTAAGCTACAACCATCAATCATTACGATCGTTTTTTCAACGGTGTATGCGACTTAAAACTATGATGCAAACAAGTTTTCCTAATATTTCAGCACAAGGAAAGACTATATATGGAACGCAGCAAAGTAGAAAATCGAAAGCTGAAGTAAACAGGATTGCATCAAAGAGGTGGACCAGTCCTTAAATATACGCCTGAGGTGAAATGAAAAGCTGAACTTCCAATCAAACATCAGTAATGGAAATTTTCTGCAAAATTGCTATCTCTTAGAAGTAATTTAGGCAAAATCTTCTATGTCTATATGTTAGTTGATGGTTCAAATGCGAGCCAAACCTATTGATTATGCACAGTCAACACATGCGCCCGATGGTACTTAATTGCATCGTGTAACCGTGCGCTTTGGATTCAAGTTCAATAATTTTTCAAGTAATATTAGGAACTTAAGATTAAACTAGCATAGTACTCGCGTGTCCCTAACAGTAAGTCTATTATATAGTATGTTTTAATATTTTAAATAATTTTAAAATATAGGTGTGAAATAAAAATTAATTAATGTTAATTGGAAAAAAAATATTTAATTTAATATGTACCTTACAGTTTAATAAATATATATTCCATAATTGAGTTTAAATATATCCTAGGAATATTTTTTATTTTGATCAATAAAAAACATGAAATTAATTATTTATTTTTAGAAAAATCAAGCTAGAAGAAGTGCTAAATCAATTTATATTAGAAGAATTTATAATTTTAGTTAATAAAAAATAACTGTTAATTTTGGAGATTTTTTTTTTTTTTTGCATAAATAATAAATAATGAAAAAAATAAAAAACTTTTAAAAAGGAAAAAAAAAAAAAGGATGGACTGGACTCACACCGAGCCCACGTGGCCGAGATGGAAACAAAACTCAGCCATAAAAAAATATAGAAACCTTTTTGTAATAATAATTAAAGTAAGATATTGTTTTTTATAAAACGAAACTTGAAAGACCAAAGTAAGAAAAGGGACAAAATAATTAAAAAATTATTTTTTTAATTGTTTTTGGGAACAGCATGTTTCAATCCAAAAGAAAAGCTTTTTTGAAATTACTTATCTTTTTAGTATATTTATTGATAATAATTTCTACCCTGACCTTAAGAAGATAAGAAGATGTAATGAAATTGACATGAGTTTTCTTTTCTTCCAAGGAGCTAACTACAAAGTCTTTCCACCGAAAATGACCTAAGTAACATGAAGTTCTATCCCTCCAAAACAATTTTTCCGCAATCATCTACGATTTGACATTTTCAAATTTGTGTTGATTCTTGACTAGACAATAGTAGACATGGTTATGGTTTAACTTGAACTATAAATCGAACCAAAATCAAATCGTTAAAAAACCGAATTAGAATTATTAAAATCATAACTTTGATTAAATTGAATCGTAACCGACTACCTATGGGTTGACTATGGTTCAAGGTATCCCGAAACCAAAATCGACGATTTTAAATCGATGGTTAAACCATATAACCGATGATTCTACATCTTTCCAAATAAATTTGGGTTGGGTCCGAAAAAAATGAAAAAATTTAAATAAAAAAATTAATTTTATATGGGCTGGACAGAGCTATTGAACGAAAAAATAATAATAATAAGCCTAATAATTTTTAACTTATATATATATATATATATATATATATATATATATATATATATATATATATATATATATATATATATATATATATATATATGTGTGTGTGTGTGTGACAAACGGTCACATTTGTGATATATATATTACATTTGTGACAAACGGTCACATTTATCCTTTTATATATATATATATTTTTTTCATCTATAAATATGCTCTCATTTTTTTTCATTCTCCTCACAACTCAATCTCTCATTCTCTCTCAATCTCTTAAACTCTTAAGTCTAAAATTCTCAATACTTGTCTTACAATATTTTTTATACTCCAAATACTTCTTAAATTTTTTACATTTTTATTGTTTTATATTACAAAAAATGACAAGTTCAAGTTCACATATGCCATCATAACAAAGTAATACTACCAATCAAAATCAGGTAGGGGAGCAACAACGACAATCAAATTTTACATTTAGATCATCCGACATCTTCAAAATTAATTTCTCAAAAGTTCCTTTAGAAAAAGGCATTTTTACCGTGATTTACAACCACCGCAACAATCAATACACGTTCAAACAAGGAGGTGGTTATGGAACATTTAAAAACCACTTGGAGAAAAAGCATCCATCCGTACTTGGTAATGATAAACATCGGACACAAATATCCGGGTTTGCTTCTCAATCTTTCTCTTTATTTTAGTATACTCGATAAAAAAAAAGAAGAAGAAATGGCTAAAATGATATGTATTGATCATTTATCTTTTAGTTTTGGTCAAAAAATGGGTTTTGGTGATTATTGTTCTAACGCTTTGAATCTCGCTTTCAAACAAGTTGAAAGGCATTCTTTAAAAAAATTAGTTATAAAATTTTATAAAAATAAAAAAGGGAATTAACCGTATTATTTGCAAAATTGAATGGTCGTGTTTCTATATGTTACGATATATAATCTAATCAATGGCAAACTCACTCCTTTATAGGTGTGACTTGTCATTGGATTGATAATGAATGGCATATACAAAAACGCCTTCTTGCATATCGAGTTTTTTATGATAACCATACCGCTCAAAATATATATAAGATACTAAAAAGGATTTTAGATGAATATGTTTTAGCTTTAAAAATATTTTCAATTTCTTTTGATAATGCTAGTTCTAATGATGCTTTAATAAACTCGTTAAAAGAATTTTGTCAACCCCATTTTGGAGGTAAGTTTTTTCATATTAGATGCATATGTCATATTTTAAATTTATGTGTGCAATCCGATTTGAGATATTTTAAAGATATTGTTAGGCCAATTAAAGCTCATGCTAAATATTTATGGGCACATCCCCAAAAAATGAAATATGGAGAAAGTTTTGCAAAGAAAGAAACAAAAAACCAAGATGATTTTCAAAAGATGTTCCAACTCGTTGGAATTCAACTTATGACTTACTTATGCGGTCATTTGAATATCGAGATTTATGATGTTCATTTATTTCAGAAAATATCGATTCTGTTTTTATTTGTCAAAATGATTTTGATATTTGCGAACCATTTTTGAAACTTTTAAGTGTTTTTAACAATGTAACATACACTTTTAGTGTCGTTTATCAACCAATTTCACATTTATTTATGATTGAAGCAATTAATATTGTTGAAGCTTTTAATCATGCGGAACAAAGTATGCCAATTTTACATAATGTTGTTCAAATAATAAAAGAAAAATGGTTAAGTTATTATGAAACAATTCCACCTATTTATCTTGTTGCTCTAGTCTTTGATCCTGGATTTAAAATGGAAGGTCATTCCGTTGTTTTAAATACTTACTATAGGTGTTTGCAATTACTTGATAGAAATATAGAATTAGAAACTACTTCTATTATAAATCGAGTTAAAGATTTATATATTGAAATGTCTTTAACTCGTGGGTGATCAACATGCTAGTTTCTCTTTACCACCTATGCCATAATCATCATCAAGTAACCAACGTGTTAGAGTCGGTTATCTTATGATCATGGAAAGGACAAAAAGGCCGGGAGGATCATCGGGCTCCACTTTCGAACTTGATATTTATCTAACAACGGTGTTTGAGTTTGGTCATAGCAATGCAGGTGTAGATTTTGAAGTAATTGATTAGTGGAAAAGACATGCGAGTACCTTTCTAGTTACGTCCATAATAGCTAGACAAATACTTGTTATGTCGGTTTCAACAACAGCTGTTGAAAGAGCATTTAGCTCCGGAGGTAATATTTTAGATGATAGGCGATCACAATTGGCTCCCGAGTCACTTGAAGCCCAAATGTGCGTGGATGATTGGATAAAAGCCGATAAGAGAATACAAGAACAAAAACAATATGATTTCAATGAAGAAAGTGTGGATCTAACACTGACGGCACAACAACGAAACTTCGAAGCCGAAACTTCGGTAAAAAAAGCAACTAGGCGCGACTACATAGGTGTAATTTATAAAGGGGTAATTTGAAATATAAAAGAGAACTACGTAAGCTTTGATTCCTCTAAACCCTAAGAGGATACGTAGGAAGCTTAAATTTTGTAGTGTTTACAAAAATTAAGTTCAAGCCCTTCTTTTTTTATTTCTTTTTTCCCTTTGATTTATTGTGCAAAATACATCATAATGTAAAAAACATTATAATATTTTTACATTATGCAAAAATAGAAGGCTTTTCGTTTCAATGTTAATGTTTGATTTATACTTGAGAAAAAATGTTTGATTTTTTTTTCCTCAATAAAAAAACCATTGAACCGTTGGTTCCAAATGGTTTGGAACCATCGGTTTTACGGTTCCAAATTGAAACCGTAACCGAACATAAAAGGTTTGGTTCGGGTTTCACCTTTTGGTGAAACCTAAACAGGCGGTTTCTAAACCGAAATCGACGGTTCGGGAACTATTACCATGTCTAGACAATAGGCATCTTGGAATTTGAATAGCACATCTTAGAAAGCACATGGCTAGAGTTAAGGATGGCAATAGATCGGATACAAAATGGATATCCTATGTAGTTTGTTTATTAATTAATTTTTTAAAATATCTTAATGGGTAATAGGTTAAATATGAGTAAAATGACATTACTCATTTAAGTTAATAGATAAGTTATTCATGAATATGGATATCATTTTTTTACCCTATTAATGCCCATTTTTTACCCATTAATATACAAAATGCTAAAACACTAAATTTTAAAATAAACAAAAGAAAGGAGAAAAAAAGTATGTGTTTTTGTTTCTGGTTGTCAAAATTTCTCAAAAACTATTTTTAATAGCTGCTAGTTGTCGGTTTTTATTTTCTTAGGACAAAAATTTAAAATAGACAAATTTTTTCGGTTTTTGTTTTCAAGAATTTGAAAACGAAAACCACAAATAATCCAAAGCGATCCATTTTTTGTTTTGGTACAATTATATATATGCAAAGGAGAATATTAATTAAAGCCAAACCGAATATTTGTGAATTAATCAGTATTTTTATCTTAAAAACTAATTATATTGTCTTATTGATTAGTGTTGAAAATGTTTAATTTAATATTATTTCATTATAAAAACTATATTTTCTCATCAATTTTTTCATAATATCTATTTATTTATTTTTCTTTTTTATTTTTTTAAAATGAAAAAAAATATATATATAGAGACCTAATAGCATAAACTTTAAAGTATGGATTGAAATGTTTTTATAAAAAACTTTAAAGACCCAAAAACTTATAAATAGATGATTATATTAAAAAAATTAATTTCAAGGACCAAAATAACTTTTTTAAAAAGGAAAACAAAGAAAGAAAAAAGAAAACTAAAACTCATATAATGCATAGTTGCAGTGTAGCTTTGGATGACTTTCGACATTTTTCATCCTTTTCAATGTACACGTGTATGATCGGATATCTGTGGAAATCTCATTTTGAGCTGTAATCCGACTTAACCTGGGTTGGTAATCTTGAATTATCAAATAAAAGAAAAAAGAAAAAAAATAGGCTGGCAAATGGCAATGTATTCTGAATTATGAAATTTCTTGCTGTTGATCACATTCCACCGATTAATTTGACAAAATCAGATCCAATATTTGCACGTGAAATAGCACGTGCGGCATTCTATTCTTCCAGGAGAGCAAAGGATTAAAAAAAAAAAAAAAGGCAAGCAGATAAATGATGGATGATCCAAACTATTTTTTTCTCATCAAATTTTTCATGATACCTATTTATTTATTTTTCTTTTTTATTTTTTTAAAATAAAAAAATAAAATAAACCATAAAATAAACAAAAAAAACTAAATAATTAGTTTTTAAAACAAGAAAAAACTAATTATTTCGTTTCTCAAAATTCAAAAAACTAATTTATAGTTTACTCTTACTTTTTATTACACAATTTGCTTTTAAAAATGAAATTACCTATAAAAACTTGAAAGTTGGCTATCTAATTAAATGGACTCATTGTACCACGACACCATCATAATGATTATATATATATATATATATAAACCAATCGGTTTTCCTTATCCTTCATTTTAAACTTGTTTGTAGGAAATAAAAAAATATCATAATTATTCAACTTAGTGCATATTTATTTATGATAATAAAAATAATAATTGTTATTTTGTAATCTAATAAAAATATTAATATATAAAAATAATTTAGACCAAAAAAAAGTTTGTAACAAAAAAAAATCAGTAAAAGAATTGAAAAATTGTGTCTTCAATTTAAAGAAAAAAATAATTGATAAATGAGTATGGACAAGGTATGGATAAAATATAATTTAATACGTATAGGCTGAGTAAAGAAATAAATAAATAATTTTTAATAAATAATAATTAAGATAATAAATATAATATTTTTTTAATAAATAAGATAAAAAATTGACTTAACGAGCTAGGTAACCGGCCATTGCCATCCCTAGCAAGAGCACTCCTCAAAAACTAAAATCATTAAAAAGTCAATAGTGGGGCACCCTCTAGCAAATAGCACTACCAAAACTTTGGAAAGAGCTCAAAGTCTTGCAGTTAACGTAGACCATACCTTTGTTGCATGATTAAAGATAATCTCGGTCCTATTTTCTTGACCAGGACTTGGATTCCACTTAGTAAATATCCCTTGACACGTGACTTTACTGGATCTCCTTGGGAGGAATCTAGGTGAATTCCTGTTCTACTCATTGATAATTTGATATACTGTTAACTATTCTTGAAATGGTAAAATGGGGTAGAATAGATGGAGAAGAGTGTTCACTTTCTGCTAAGAAAAAATAATCATCAATGTCCTCGGTCTTGACTATCTAGAATGTTTTACCACATTTTCTAACAATTACAAAACCTTATGTGTGATCTCAATTAAGTTCTTATATCACATATTAATGTTTCAAAGAACATTGTCGTTCCTGTGATGGCTTTTTTACTACTATATTCTTCTTGTCTTTTAATTATTCTCATACAGACAAAACCATTTCTAGCCAATTCTGAATCTTACAAGAATGTGTCTTTAGGCTTACCTCTCACTGCCGCAAACAACGATGATTCCTGGCAACCGCCATCCGGTGAATTTGCATTTGATTTAGAGCAGGTTGGAGATGATGGCTTCTTATTAGCAATCTGGTTCAACAAAATACCTGAAAAAACCATTGTTTGGCCAGCCAACAGAAATAGTCTAATACAAAGAGGTACCAAAGTTAAGCTCATGGAAGATGGTCGATTAGTGCTTAATGACCGAAAAGGCAAGCAGATATGGTGTGCTGATATTGCTCGTAGCAGGGTGGCTTATGCAGCCATGCTTGACACCGAAAACTTTGTGCTGGCAAGACACTATTTAGTCAATTTATGGGAGAGCTTTGGAGAGCCAACTGATACTCTATTTCCTACACAAATTTTCAATCGAGGGAGCAAGCTAGTTGCTGGATACTCAAGAATAAATCGCTCAACTGGAAGATTTCGGTTCACTCCACAAGCTGATGGAAATCTCATGCTTTACACCCTAGCTTTCTCGTTAGATTTTGATAATTCGGCCTATTGGTCAGGTCAAACTAAAGGCAATGGCTTTCAGTTAATCTTCAACCAACCTGGAAACATTTACCTTGCAGCAAAAAATGGAAGCATACTAAAAATGTTTTCATCAGAATCTCCAACAACTCAAGAATGTTACCACATTGCAATTCTTGAATACAATGGAGCTTTCAGGCACTAATCCTACCCTAAGAGATCTAGTCCTAATTTCACTGGGTGGCCTCCTAAATGGTCTTCCTTGTCCACCTCCATACCTCGAAACATCTGCATGAGACTTACAGAAGATTCCGATAGTGGAGCTTACAGATTCAACAGCTACTGTAATCTTGAAAATGAACAGAGACCAAATCACAAGTGTCCACGGGGTATACCTTCTTGGATCCGTATGATGTGATGAAAGGATGCAAGTAAAACTTTGTTTCGCAGAATTGTGAAAAAGCATCACAAGAAATAAAACTTTTCTACTTGGAACAGAAGGAAAATACTGACTGGCCACATTCTGATTCTGAACACTTTGAGAGGGTAGCTGAGGATTGGTGCAGGAAGGCTTACTTGAATGATTATTTTTGTGCTGTTGCAATTTTCAGAGATGAGAGTTGTTGGAAGAAGAAAATTCCTCTGTCTAGTAGAAGGTTTGATGCTAGTGTAGGTGGAAAAGCATTGATAAAAATACAAAAAGACGATTCTACTTTGAATCCTGCAGATGATGAATTTCCTAAAAACAAAAGCCGTTCGAATATAATCGTCATCGGATCACTGTTGGTAATTAGTTCTGTGTCTCTTAACTTTCTCTTTATCATGAAAACTTTTCTGGATGTTCTCCGCTTCGGCTATCTTCGAAATTTGACTTTCAATGAACTAGAAAAAGCCACTAGTAATTTCAATGAAGAACTTGGTAGTGGAGCTTTTGCAACAGTTTACTAAGGGGTTCTAAATTTCGATTAAAGAACTTTTGTCGTTGTTAAGAATTTGGACAAGATCGAGAGAGACTGTGAGAAGGAATTCAAAGCTGAGGTGAATGCAATTGGGAGAGCAAATCACAAAAATTTAGTGAAACTACTAGGATTCTGCAACAAGGGGGAACATCGCCTTCTGGTTTATGAGCTCATAAGAAATGACAACTTAGCAAATTTCCTATTTGGAAATTCAAGACTTAATCGGTTCAAAAGAATGCAAATTGCTTTTGGAGTTACAAGAGGTCTCTTTTACTTACATGAAGAATGCAGCACACAGATATAAAACCTCAAAACATTTTTCTTGATTAATCTTTCAATGCAAAAATTTCAAACTTTGGAATAGCCAAGCTATTGAAGACAGACAAGACTCGAACTTCAACTGCAATTAGAGGAACTCAAGGATATATTGCCCCTGAATGGTTTAAGAACCTGCTTGTTACTGTCAAGGTAAATGTCTACAGCTTTGGCATTTTGTTGCTAGAGCTCATTTGTTGCAGGAAAAATTTTGAACCAGAAGTGAAGGATGAAGATCAGATGGTTCCGGCTTAGTGGGCTTACGACTGCTACAGAGATGGATAAGTAAGCCTGCTTGTGGCAAATGATGAAGATGCAATGCTTGAAATGAACAGAGTGGTAAAGTTTGTGATGATTGCCCTCTGGTGCATTCAGAAGGATCTATCACTAAGACCTACCATGAAGAAAGTCACTTAGATGCTGGAAGGAACGGTTGAAGTTTCTGTTCCTCCAGATCCATCACCGTTTATTAGCTCAATCGGATTGTTCTGAGATAATTGTACATCATTGAACTCCAGGTTTTAAATTAGTTGAACTGCTATATTCTACTTAGATGTTGTACAATCTATTTTTGCAGTTTAATTTCTTCCCAAAAGTAGAGATCAAAACAGTTGTTGAAGTAAAACCTTTCACAAATCCATTCAGGATCAACCAAAAAATTATGATAAAACGACCGAAAGCAAAGAACTGAGAGGCAAAATTCAGGTAGAAAAACCTAAAAGCATTAGTTCTTGCAGGCAATGAACTAATATCCATTTCAACATTCATGCAATAAGAGACGATAATTGGTGCTCAAAACAGCAATTTTTCACCAATTGACTTGAACATGTGATGCTAAGAAGTTGAAAGGAAGTGATAAAACTAATAATAGATGCATTATAAATTGCAGCGAACAGAGTTAACAGATCATAAGTTTGTATTATAAGCACAAGAGTAGATTTCTGAAAATTAAACAGAAAAAGCCATCTTCTGTTTCTACACAAGTTCGCAAATAATGAAGTTGCTGATTTGATATCAGAAAGAACATATTTCCATATCGAAAAACAACCGAGTCATCTTTTTAGTTATTTATCATTGTTGCATTTGTTGACAGTGACATGCAAGAAATTAAGTAATGAGGATTTGGTGATAAAAAATCTTAACTGACTGCGATGTGATTTAGCATAAAGAAAACGAAAGACCAGGTCTAATAAAATATCAAACCCTTTCTGTTTTGTCCTAAAGACAGGACATGCAGACTGTTGAAGTCAATAGTAGTTTCTTTTGTTTACTTTTACTTCTTTAATGCAGCAATAAGTATCTTCTGAGGAAGTAAAAACTGAAGCTGCTATATTTATTCCATTAATTTATTCATTGAGTATCCTATGCAATCAGACTAGAATGGTTTCATGAATATCTTTGAGAGTAGTATTTTGGGATTTGTTTAATCACTCCAGCAGAAGATTCAATTCTAATTGGAATTTCTCATAGAAAAATCATAAAGAAAGAAAGAAACTCTTTGCTTTCTTCATTTGAAATGAGGATGGATGGAGATTCATTTCTGTCGACTGCAATACTCAGCATAAACAGAGAAAAGGTTTTGCCATAAGTCCTGCAATTTCTTAAAGAACAGCATCTTCACACCATGGATTTTTCATTACTATAATGTTTTTGCTTCTTTTTTCTTCTGATGCTGCTGCCATTTTCCACCAATGGTCAGACGTATAGAAACATATCTTTGGGTTCATCTCTCGCTGCTGAAAGTGATAATCCTTTCTCGACTACACCATCTGAGGATTTTGCTTTTAGATTCCAACAAGTTGGTGACGCTGGCTTCTTAATAGCCATATGGTTCAACAAAATACCTGAAAGAATCATAGTCTGGTCAGCGGATAGAAATAAGCTAGTTCAGAGGGGATCAAGAGTTCGACATACCACAAATGGTTAGTTGGTCCTAAATGACCAATCAGGCAGACCAATATGGGATACCAATTCTCGAAGAAGTGGAGTAGCCTATGCAGCCATGCTTGACACAGGAAACTTTGTGCTAGTAAGCCAATCTGCTACCAATTTGTGGTAGTGTTTTGATCAACCAACAGATACAATGCTGCCTATGCAGACTCTGAGTCAAGGTCGTGAACTAATTGCTCCTTGTCTAGAAAAGAATTATTCAGATGGAAGATACATGTTTACAAACTGATGGGAACCTTCTCCTGTTCACCACACTTCATCCATCAATAATTTTGCTTGTTGGTCTACCCAAGATTCTATGAGCAGTGGTTATCAAGTGATCTTTAACCACTCTAACTTTATGTACCTTATAGCAAGAAATGGCACTATGATTAATCATGTATTCTCTAATTCAGTACGAATGCAAGATTTCTACCAGAGGGTAACCCTTGACTATGATGGAGTTTTTAGGCACTATGTCTACCCAAAGACTGCTGCTTCAAGCAGCAGAAGCAAGGCTCCGATCTAAAATACATTGTTTTTTATACCATCAAATATCTGCATGAGAATTGTTTTTAGGCATTATGTCTACCCAAAGACTGCTGCTTCAAGCAGCAGAAGCAAGGCTCCGATCTGGAATACATTTTTTTTCATACCATCAAATATCTGCATGAGAATTATGGGCGAAGTAGGTAGTGGAGCTTGTGATTACAACAACTATTGCAGTTTAGGAGATGATCAAAGACCGAGTTGCCAGTGTCCTCAAGGTTACACTTTCTTGGATCCAAATGATGTGAGGAAGGGATGTTTCATATGATTGTGACCAACCATCCAAAGGAACTGATAAAATTGACTTCGTGGATATACCTAACACAGATTGGCCAAACAATGATTATGAATATTTTGTTTCAGTTGACGAGGATTGGTGAGACAGGCTTGCTTGAGTGACTGCTATTGTGATGTTGCCATTTTCAGAGATCGAAATTGTTGGATGAAGAGAATGCCTCTCTCTAATGGGAGAATAGATCTAAACGTTGATGGAAAAGCCATGATAAAAGTAACAATAGGCAGCTCTACTACAGGTCCAAACTCAAAGAAAAATGATCGATCCACTTCGATGATAACGGGCTCTGCACTTATAGGCAGCTCCGTCTTTCTAAATGTTCTCTTACTGATAGGAATCTATGTGCTCTTTTCTCGATTGAGCTGACAAAAACCAAAAATGATCCAGCCATGTAACGTCAGGCCAGATGTGAATCTGGTAAGTTTTAATTATAATGAGCTCGAAACAGCTACTAGAGGATTGAAGGAAGAACCAGGAAGTGGTGCTTTCGTTCGGAACGGTTTACAAAGGGGTTCTAGCCAATGAAGATACACCTCTCATTACAATAAAGAAATTAGAAAAGATGGTCGGAGAAGGCGAGCAGGAATTCGAAACAGAAGTGAAAGTTATTGGCAGAACAAATCATAAAAAAATTTGGTCCAACTTCTCAAATTTTGTAATGATGGGGAGCATCAACCATAAACTAGTTTCAATGAATTCAAACTCGATTGGTTTCTTCTGCTCAATTTGGATTGAGAAGTGAAGAAGATGCTAGTGATGATAACTATGGTTACTTGAGACCAAAGATGCTAACTATCTTTTTCGTGTCTCTATTTATGTAGCTGGGAGGTTTTGGGATTGTTAATGCCATTAGTCTAGACTCTAGATGTGTTCCTCTATTCCTGAGCATTGTTAATGTTGATGCCATTATCGTAAAAATAATATTTTGAGGACAATTTGTCATTTCAGCTAAAAACGCTATGCTAGTAGCGCCAAGTGTCACAGTCCTAGGCGCAGGGTTGCGCCAAGGATAGGCGCAGGCGCAAGTGTTGCGCGCGCCAAGGATAGGCGCGAGGCGTAAGTGTTGCGCTCGCCAAAGATAGGCGTAGGCGCAAGGTTGTGCGCGCCAAGGCTACGAACAACGGGTTCATGTTCAGCACAACTCCATACTTGGATAGAGGGCTGTCCAAGTTACGTGGGAGCACGAGCAGGCTAAGAGAGAGGGCTCGGTCGGATGCCTAAAGGATCCGTGGGGTGGCGAGCCAAAGGAAGTTCCAGAAGGAGCGAGTTATCAAAGAGGCGGTTATCGACGAGTTACTTCCTCTAGCCAATTTGTCCAGATTTATAGGGAGCGATTAGATAGCAGTTCCTATGTAACTTCCAATGATTCTTTGTTATAAAAAGGAGAGGGGGATGTGCTTTGCACACGGAGAGAGACATATAGACAGAGATAGAGAGACACCGAAATAAAAGTGTATTCCTTTGTTACCGGGTTAATAAAAGGTTGGGAGTTTTCCTGTAATATTGTGTGTAATCTCCGATTCACTCTTTGTCTATTGTAGCGTGTTGCCTATCATTTGCGGGACTTCGTGGAAAGCCTCTTGGGTGTGTGAAACACAATAGTCGATAGGTCAAACACGAGAGCAAATTGGGAGGAAAAATGCCGAAGTCTAGGGGGACCTAGGCCGCCGCACTAGGTTCAAATCGTGATGAAAATTTGACCTCGTGACACCAAGCACCACGAGTGCTACCCCGTAGCCGGCGATAGCACATGCTACCGGCTCCGTCGCTAGCATAACCAAATGGCTTTGCATTCTTTTTTAACGGAATAGTTCTCGTTTTGAAAAAACCTTTTAAAAAAAATTCTCTTCAATGTGAATTGAATTGTTAATTTCCAATTTGAATTTGAACTAAAATTTTTTCGAGTTAAATTTCATTGAGTATAGGTGAGATACTATGGCTCGTATCTAAAAATTCTACTTACTAGACACATCATAGGTAACAACACCAATTTCTTTTAAATCAACCAACTCTTTAATAAAGGATTGAAAGTACAAGTCTAGGTTGATCTTTAGGTTTTTTGGTCCCATAACAATTACGAGTTAAGAACATATATTCTTTCTTCATATACTTCTATGATGGCAAATTATAAGACATTACAATTACAAGTCAAAAATAATATTATTGTCCAAATAGGTCAAAAGGCTAAAACCTATTAGTGCGGACTTCTAATCTAACATTCCTAATTTCGATGCAAAAGAATGATATGTTTAATCAAAATAATGTCATGCAAAAGAGTGAGAACAATGACACATAATGTCCGCCTCAACTTCATGTTTGACGTGCCACATCATGTCACTAGTCGTGGCGATCAACGCATACATCCTCTATAACCGCGGGGTTAGTGAAAAGTAATATATTTTTTATACGAAACATAAGTTTCTCTAATTGATCCCCGCCTAAAACTTTGATATCAAGGATTGGTAATAGATTTTGAAAGTAATTCTCTCATTGTCTTTACCTCAATAAATCATCCATCCATTTATACAGCTATGGATCCATTGAATTGGTAAACCCATTAGTTCCACTAACTTTTTGTATTGTAAAAATCTTATGGAATATAATTATCAACAAGCATCAAACTTTTCATAAGTTGACATAAGTCGTCTTAAAACCTCTCCGAAAAAAGATGTTCGGACTTCGGATGCAACAAATGTGTCAATACGGAAAACTATAAGTAGTTTTCTTAACCGAATCAAATCTCTTTACTCGAATGCATTCAACAAATCATAAAATGCCTAGGCATGAGGATTTGAGACTTCGTTGGTGTTAGACGGATTAAATGATGGATCGGCTACATCCATCACCATTATGTGATATGGATTGGCTAGAGGTTCATTAAATGTTTGCTCAACTTCAACAAAATTTTTCGAGTTATCACCACGAACCACCGACTCACTTTCTCCATGACGTCTCCACACATACTACCCGGACGTAAAATCATATCTCATCAAATGGTACTTAACTATATCGAATCTTCATAACTATGGTTCTAATACTTTTTGAGTTTATAAGACATCTTATCTTATTTTTTTCCATACACTTTTGACTAATAACAAAATCAATAAATTCATTTATCTTGTCTATAAAATCCTAATTTAAAAGATCATTGGTATATCTATAGTCGATCCATGAATGATCCAAATTCATAATAACTTTAACACATAAATAATTTAATTAACACCTATTTAATTCAAATAAAAACCTAATTAATTTTTTAAACAATATTTAAATTATTTCATTAAAACATAATTAACTTATTTTAAAAACTAAACAACTTAATTAAAACCAATTAGTTGAACTAACACCTAATTAAATTTTTAAAAAAATTAAATAATTTAATTAACAACTAAGTTAAATTAGCTAACAACTAAATAACTTAATTAAGACAAAATTAATTAAAATAACACCTAATTAATTATTTTAAAAAATATTTTAATTAACATCTAATTGACTTAATTCAACAAATAAAAAACTTAATTAGCAACCAAAGTGATTAAACTAACACGTAATTAAATTTTTTAAAATATTAACTAATTAATTTAATTAAGTGCTAATTAACTTATTTTAACAACAACAAAATTTAATTAACAACAAAATTAATTAAACTAACACCTAATTAATTTTTTAAAAAAATATTTAAGTAATTAAATTAATAACTAATTAACTTATATTAATACATAAATAACTTAATTAACGCCTATTTAATTAAATGCACAACTAATTAATTTTTAAAAAATATTTACGTAATAAAATTAGCAACTAATTAACTTATTTTAACACATAAATAATTTAATTAACACCTATTTAATTAAAATAATACCTAATTAATTTTTTAAAATAATATTTAAATTATTTAATTAAAAAATAATTAACTTATTTTAAAAAATAAATTACTTAATTAAAACCAATTAGTTAAACTAAGATCTAATTACATTTTTAAATAATTTAATAATTTAATTATCAACTAATTAAGTTAAATTAATTAACAACTAAATAACTTAATTAACACATAATTAATTAAAATAACACCTAATTACTTTTTAAATAATATTTTAATTAACAACTAATTGACTTGATTTAACAAATAAAAAAATTTATTGACAACCAAATTGATTAAACTAACATGTAATTAAATTTTTTAAACAATATTTAATTAATTTAATTGACTACTAATTAACTTATTTTAACAACTAAAAAACTTAATTAACAATAAAATTAATTAAAGTAACACCTAATTAAATTTTTAAAAAAATATTTAAGTAATTATATTAACTACTAATGAACTTATTTTAACACAAAAATAACTTAATTAATAACTATTTAATTAAACAAACAACTAATTAATTTTTCTGAATTATATTTAAGTAATTAAATTAACAACTAATTAACTCATTTTAATACATAAATAACTTAATTAACACCTATTTAATTAAAATAACACCTAATTAATTAATTTAAAAAATATTTAAGTAATTAAATTAACAACTAATTAAATTATATTAACAAATAAATCATTTAATTAACACCTATTTAATTAAACTAACAACTAACAAATTTTTTAAATAATTAAGTAATTTAATTAACAACTAAATCACTTAATTAACACATAATTAATTAAACTAACAACAAATAAATCTTTTTAGACAATTAAATAATTTGATTAACAACAAATTAACTTAAATTAATTAACAAATAAATCACTCAATTGACATATAATTAAATAAACGAATAACTAATTAATTTTTAAAAAAATTAAATAATTTAGTTAACAAAAAATTAACTCAATTTAAAAAACAACTAAATCACTTAATTAATGCATAATTAATTAAACTAACACCAAATTATTTTTTTAAATAATTAATTTAATTTACAACGAGAAGTTGCCGCCAACTCACGAGAGAAGAAGAGGAAGAGTTGCTACCAAGTACTATTCATGGAGAAGAAGAGAGGAAGACAAGAAAAGGAGAGAAAAAAGAAGAAAATAGAGGAGAAAAAAGGAAGAGATGGAGAGAAAGAAGAAGAAAAAAAGTGAGAAGGGGAGTTTGGAGGATCCGTTGGCGTCAATGAAGGAAATTTTAGAGTGGTGGGGCTATTGAAAAAGAAGAAGCGAAAAGAGCAGAAGGAAAATTTGAGAAAAATTGGATATAATGTATTTAGGGATTTTAAGTTTAGTGATGATTTTCGATTTGTCGCTAAATTATAACACCCGAGTATCTGTTAAAACCGTTATTAAATATGTTTAAAATATAATAAAGGCGTGACTAAATTATTTTGTAGGCATAGAATAATCAATAAGAGGTTGCTACAATATTCGAATAAGTTTTCGGTGCAAAGTGAATATCTTAAGTGATTTTCGGTGCATGAATAATGACTCTTTAAGTGAAATAATTATTTTAAGCATGCTAAATATGAATGAAGATGCTTAGGTTGTATTTAATATTTGCTAGAGGGGTGCTAGATTATTCTATGCCATTGGGTGAATT